AGAGTGTATATGTTTACTATTATATTAACTGCTAGGAGAGTGTATATACTTACTATTATATTAACCACTAGGAGAGTGTATATATTAACTATTATATTAACCGCTAGGTGAGTGTATATACTTACTATTATATTAACCGCTAGGAGAGTGTATATACTTACTATTATATTAACCGCTAGGAGAGTGTATATATTTACTATCACATTAACCGCTAGGAAAGTGTATATACTTACTATTATATTAACCGCTAGGAGAGTGTATATAATTACTATTATATTAGCCGCTAGGAGAGTGTATATATTTACTATTATATCAACCGCTAGGAGAGTGTATATACTTACTATTATATTAACCGCTAGGAGAGCGTATATACTTACTATTATATTTACCGCTAAGAAAGTGTATTTACTTACTATTATATTAACCGCTAGGACACTGTATATACTTACTATTATATTAACCGCTAGGAGAGTGTATATACTTACTATTATATTAACCGCTAGGAGAGTGCATATAATTGCTATTATATTAACCGCTAGGAGAGTGCATATAATTGCTATTATATTAACCGCTAGGAGAGTGTATATAATTACTATTATATTAACCGCTAGGAGAGTGTATATACTTACTATTATAGTAACCGCAATGGGAGGTTGTATCTTTATCGTTATGCTAACTGCAGTGAAGGTCTTATCTTTATCATGAATTATATTATTAGATAAAACAGTTTTTACTGCATGTAGTATGATAAACGAATGCCTTTTCAACGAACAGTCATCAATACGTTCAGCTAATACTTTTTGTATCACATTTCAATTGCAATGAGATTTTTTATATCACTCACTTTTTGTTTTTGTCCGTGCTGTTTCTTAAATACTCGCGTCATTCTTTTCTGTCCATGTATCATTTCTGTTTATAAGGCTTGCTATTCTGTTAGGGCATAGAAATAGAATAAGCCAGTTGGAACAAATATGAAGAGTCTTCTATTAGAGCCAGTGGAGCGTACATTGTGGAAATAGATCAAGTGAATATATGAGGCAGTTAGTGTAAATTACACCAAAGAATTCAAGGTATCCAAAGAAAAATTAACTTAACTAATAACAAAAAAACAAGCTTATTTGTTGTGACGATGGTTATTAGTGTGAATTTCACGCATCAAATAAACAGGTGTCTTTAACTTCCAACATGATTCCGTGTTTTTCTTTTTGTGGAACATCACACTTTTTTGTTTGTTTTGTTTTTTAAGACATAGAAAAATAGATTAATTAGAATCTCTCTGATTAAACATTGCATTATTTGACATCTAGTGAAACGAACCGCACTTCACTTGGTTGTTTGTACATTGAACGAACCGCACTTCACTTGGCTGTTTGTACATTGGATAAGTATTATACGTGATTAAAATAAAATACTTAGAATCTCGGCAAATAATGCAGATTAATTTATTTGATTGTTTGTTTGATATTAAGAACAAAGCTACACAAAGGGCTATCTGTGCTCTGCCCACCACGGGTATCGAAACGCGGTTTCTAGCAGTATAAGACACTGTGCCACTGGGGGCTAATTTATTTGACCTGTGTATCATTACTGCTTCTTTTTTCATTATGGTAACATTGAAAATTCAATTTCCAGAGTATAGACCTGTGTTCATCAACAATACAATCATATATTCCATTCGTTTGATATAAATGCTGTTATAGGCTTTATTTTTAATCTAGAGTTTAGAACGAAACACGTTCCCTAAATGACACTAGCCTTCTTAAAAAAAAAAGTGTAAAAAAGCAAAAGAAGCCATATTTAAAATACATTCAGGCTAGATTGGGTTGTTGAGTTTGTTAGTCTGTACTGAAATTAGTCAAGAAAGTGAAAGTTATGTTTAGACATAGTTTATTTATAATGTTTAGACAATCGGTGAAAGTTGGTAACCGCGGAATTTCAAGTTTTAGAAATAAAACTTTTGTATTATCGTTCAGTGGACTAGCCTTTGCATTATTCTGTTTACCGAATAATCAAAAAGAACCCGCCTAACAATAGAAGCCATTACAACAATAATATATATAAATATATAGAGAGAGAAGTGTTCAGCACAGGCAAGAGGCACTGATATGTGTACAAATTGGTATGTAAACCTTAGTGAACTATCAATCTGAGTAGAATACCAGCATGCTGGCACTTAATCTAGAAGAGACTAACGCTTTGCTAGAATGTAAGTCAAATCCTGGAATGTATGTCAGAATAAACGTTTTATATATGTCTAAAGTGACTGCGATGTCTTGATAATACAAAAATCACACCTTTTTATTAGGTGGTAAAAATATCATGATAGTAAGTGAAACTGTATCTTGAGACTATACTGAAGATGTTATGTTTTTTAACAAGGATCGAGTTTATGCTAATTTTGTGTATTTAATTATGATGTTCCTGGAATAAACTCAGTCAGTATTGGTTTTCAAATGTGAAACTTAATTTACCTGGAATTCCCGATTTTATAAGAACATAACAATGCTCTAACAATTTACAGAACATTTTCTTAAACTAGTATAACGTCTAAATGCCATTGTTAAAAGATAGTTAAATGTTTTACACATTCATAGCTTCTACCTTATATATTAGTTTGTCGTGTGTTAAGCACAACGCTGCACAATGGGCTATAGTTATTGTGCCTCAATACAGGAATAGAATCCAGATTTTTATCGTTATAAGCTCTCATACTTATCTCTGAGTCACCAGTAGTGTATTTATTAATTTTTGACTATTTCTTTAAATCATTTGATACAGATGAAACATTAATGAACTTCATTGAAATAGTACGTGCTTTTAATGCTTTATAAATCGACGTTTTACACAATATTGTTTTTGTCAAAAGTGATGAAAAATAATAATAATTACAATTAATAATCAGATGCCACTCCCTGCTAAAAACTGTTTTTAATGTAAACGCTTGAAGTACATTGTTCGTTTGTTTGTTTTTTGCGAACAAGTTACTTAAGTTACTATTATGGTAGAATGTGTGTTTACCTTATAACCATCAAACTATCAAAAAATTAATCTTTACTGATATTGGTGGAAAACGTTTCGATTCACTTTTTAAGGTATTCATTTGATTGAATTTTTTCATGGTGTCGGAATCTTTCTCTAAAGTTATTCTTGGAATAAAGATGTTTTAATTAAATAATATTTTTTGTTGGCTTGTTTAAAAAGTTTCAAGCACACGTAACTCAGTTGTGAATCTACCTGATCGTCTAGGATTCTGGGTATGTTTGCCCCTCTCTCCCCCTGCCCTTTGATACCCTACGAGATTTGATATTGCTAAGATTATGAATCGGGCTTAGCATTTACCGCGAAACTTACTTTTAAACTATTAAAATCCTGTTTAAATATGTATACCAAGTAAACATATTCTTTCAGCAACGGCTATTTTACTGGTACGTCGTGATTTAGTTTCAGAACCAAGACAGTTTGTACGCTAACAGTGTCTAATTTAGTAGGATTAACATTAATGCAAGGGTGTGGCAAGGTTATAAGGTAAATATTTCATAAGTGGGAGGAGCGGCTAGAAGATCACAAAGCTCCACTTCTAAACAATGTGTTCCTTACGTCAGAGTCAACGGTTTTATTAAGCTCTTGTTGATAATCAATTGTTTCTGTGTGACCCAGATAATATTGACAATACCCCAACGGATGAAGACAGTAGAGAAAACTTTGGGAGTGTTCTGTTTTCACAAAGCTCTATATTTAGATGAGTAAGCTCTAAAACTGCGTCCTTTTAGAAAGGTTGTCGAATTGTAATAACGTCAGTTTTGGATTAAGTCTCTATGGAATTCCGCAGAATGGAGCAGTTAAAAAATTTAATTATTAGATCATAGAGAAAATAGAAGAGTTGTGTGAGATATTATAATTTCCAGTTTTGGTTATATGGTAAGTTGTTGACTAGCATGTTACTAGATTTGTATCTTACTTATAGTAGCAGATAAAAGTAAAAACAAAGCAATGAAATTCAACAGAAATGTTTCGTGTCTTATTTAATATTGAACCATGGCCTCCGGTGTCTCAGTTGAACGTTCGAGGACATGCAACACTAAAATCAGGGCTCGATACCCGCGGTAGAAACAGCACAGATAGTCCATTGTGTAGCTTTCTGCTTAGAAACAAACAAACAAAAGTTTTGAGCTGTATATTTGTTTGTTGGAAGTTAAGCACAAAGCTACACAATGGGCTATCTGTGCTCTGCCCACCACGGGTATCGGAACCCTGATTCTAGCGTTGTAAGTCCGCTGAGCTGTATATATTACTTATACAACCAATATTCAAAACATTTACTTAAACAGATATTTTGGTCATATATAAATTACATCACCTAATTCTATTTGAATTATAGATAACAAACACATCCTTGCATTAAAAGGTTCCATTATTGATACTGACCTAGTGTTTTCATATAATTAAACGGTGACGTCTTGGTTTTAAAAGCACAACTTGATAGCAGTCATTAGTGTGTGACGTGTTAGCTTGGTAGTAAAAAGCATACATGTTTTTTAAGTTGGTTATATTCTATAATTAGTACTATTGTGGAGTCGTATGCTGTGATGTGTATCATGTATATTTTTTTAATAAGTAATATTTAAAAACAAAAACTTTACTTCAAATTAATATCAACTGGAAAGTTTTTATTTTTTTATGTTGCAGTAACTTACAATTATGATAAACCAGCTTTGTACAAAATATGGTTTCAGCCATTTAGAGTCGCGATGACTCATTTGGTAAGACAGTGTCTGCTTGTGAAAACAGGAATGTTCTAATTCACTCAGTAGAATTGCTCATATCTTTCCTGAAATTTCTTTCTTTATTTTTTTTTAATTAGAAAGTAAATACTAGCAGAATGTGAGTAGACGTGTGTTTTTCAACAGTTTTTTTTTTTTACTATGTAGAATAATGCGGCTTTTTGTTTTTTCGTTTTTCACTGTTTTGTTTTGTTTTACATTTTTCTTTGTGCCTTTCAGATGCTTGTGGAATTTCAGACGTTGGACACATCGAGAGTTTACAAGAAAAGTCACAGTGTGCTTTAGAAGAATATTGTAGAACACAGTACCCTAATCAGCCTACTCGCTTCGGCAAGCTCCTTCTCCGTTTACCTTCCTTGCGGACAGTCAGTTCCCAGGTGATAGAACAGTTATTCTTCGTTCGGCTGGTGGGGAAGACACCCATTGAAACCCTCATAAGAGACATGCTCTTAAGCGGCAGTTCTTTCAACTGGCCGTATATGTCGTTACAGTGACCGGAAAGAACAACACAGATATGCGGTCAGGTTTTCAAGATGGTCGCCATTCCTTCTCGCCGAAATGAGGCAGTGTGTAAATTCCATGTTTACGCGGCACAACGATCCTAGTTGTTGTTTTCACGGAAAAAATAAACATTGTCTGGAATATGGCAATAGAAGTCTAGAAATACCAGTGAAAACCAAAAGTGTTCTAACAACGATAAAAAGTTTATAAGCATTTTATTGTTACTATGTACGAAGCTAAACTCATCATAATGTGCTGTATATACGCGTTGTTAAGGGCCAACTCTTCTTATATTACTAAATGATTACGGAAAACCCTGCAGACTGAGGAAGAAAACCTGTTTGTTTTATTCATATAGTTCCCAGTCACCGAAGAACCGTATTGAGGTTTTTTATAGAGTTGTGCTAAGTCGTAGACTATAATATAGTGCTTTAGTACATCTGCTTTAATGATGATATTTTGAGTGCAAAAGTGCATAACTATATAGATTTCTACACATCAAAGTGCCGGTGAAAAAGAAAAAAAAGAGCCGTGTCGAGCTTTACTCTTTTCACACCTCCTCTTGCTGTGTTCAATATTAAAAGTTAATGAAATGATTTCTAAGCCACGAGATGTCGTAAAATGCAATGGCCAAACATTTGTTACATAGACCTAGCTCTTATAACTTGCTATGGTTGTTATCAACTTAACCAAACAGTTTATTTCAGACACTGGTGTATAGCTAACTTGTTGTAAAGTGTTCTCTTATGATTAAGTGTTGTTGTCTTTGATAAACATAATGAATTTATTCAATTGATGTATAAATATAAACATTTCTTGACCCCATGCCTGAAAAAAAAATCAGGGTTATCCAACCCTCTACGTTTTCAATCATTCTTTACAAAACTTGTCTTTTCCTTTCCATTAGAACAAATAGCAATAAAATTTGAAATACTGACACATCGAAAAAATATATATATATGATGTAGTGGTGATAGTGGAATTTATAAAAATTTATAACTATTCAAAAGAAGCTCCATAAAATTAACGAGTAAACACCTGCTTAGAAACGTACTTCACTCTAAAATGTTTCGACACAATGACCTGATCTTGTGCATAACACGTCAATGAAGGTTCGTGTAATTTCGCTTCAGCTAACAGAATTTGAAGTATATGAGAAAAAGTTTATTTTGTATTCTTAAATCTGAAACTTTTAATTAATATTCTTCAGTATGAAATAAATTCATAAAATATTTATACTTATCTAATGCCTTATTTCTTTTTCGGTAAAAAAGTTTTATATTATTATATATTACATTACGATAAAGGATTTTACGACAATGTTAAAACATACTTGTAAGCGCGTGCATTTTTCGTATCAAGTGGGCATGTTGAAGTTCCAAATTATTAATAAGAATCACCATGGTTTAAAGAACCTCATTTGGTTGCAATATCTGTCAGAGTCTTTATTTTTCTTGCTCACTTTCATAGAACATTAAGATGGCGATAAAAAATGTTTTCTTTCACTCCTCTTAATATTTTTTTACCTTCATTAAACAATGAATTTAAGATTTTTACGTTGAACTACTTTTTACCGGAATAAAAGTTTTTACTTAAGTTCAAAATAAACTTCTAAACAAACATGAAATGTTAGTACAATAAACTTGAAAAAATTAGGCCTGGAAAACATAAAAATATGAATTTTCTGTTGGAAAAAATAATAGAAAGAGATAAATACTTGAATGGTAAGATATAAAGAAGATGTTGGATTTATTTTCAAATAAACAATTTCTTTCTTTACTTAGTGATCAGCGTCGAAAGAAATGTTAGAGTAACATCAATTTGTTCGGATATATTCATAAGTTATTTAATGCAATAACCCAAATTCACTTTAAGTAACAATATTTTCCTTTTTCTGGTGTGTATTATACTGCCCGATGATGAAATTTACAAAAATTATTAGCTGGAACATATGGACGGTTATTTATGTAATTTCATGACAATTGCACTTTTTATATTACAGTCTTGAAATGAAAAAAAAAAAACAACAAAAAACTTAACGCTTCATGTTTGTTTAAACACACGTAACAGTAATCGCGATTTAGGCTTGTCTAAATGTACACTTACATAGGTTTATGTGTATTTTTTAGTAAGCAATAAAAATAAATACAACATACTTTCATTCTTCGAATCAGTTTTCTTTAGTTATCTATTTCACAAATTAGTGGTTCATCTAAGATAACCTGTTCGTTACCCTAAATACATTCACGTGGCTTTCTAAGAGTATCGATTCACTATTAAGATTACATTCTTTCGAAGAGAATGCATGAAAGGTGCTCTTTAAACTAGAATCGAGAAAGTTAATAAACCAGAACTAATGTGACACCTGCGTGCTTGCTTTAACTGCCAATACAGTATCACTGTAATAGTCATCAAGACAAAACATCGGAGTGACCCTAACCTTGAGCCGTTATAATCATAACAAAAAGCGCCAAACTGTCGGCCGAGGAGCCGGCTAGCTGAGACAACTAAACACACGTCCTCCACGCAGACGACCACCCGTTCCATAAAGTAAATTAACCGTCTTGAAAAACGAAACACCTGCTGGTCAAGAAGGCTGCAAAATAATAAGTGTATGCTTTAAACTTCACTTAAAATGAAGAGCATGTTAGTTCGTTTCGTGAGTCATGTAAACAGTTATAATTAGTTTGTTTCGTGAGTCATGTAAACAGTTATAATTAGTTCGTTTCGTGAGTCATGTAAACAGTTATAATTAACAGGTTTCTTTCATAATCTACCATCAAAGTACTGTAACTCACTCTTCTCAATTACTGGCAATTACCCCCTAGTGGTTGATGGTAAGTTTACAAACTTACAGCACTAAAATCCAAGGTTTAGTGCGTAGCTTTGCACTAAAAAAACTTATTGTAAATTTATTAAAACTCATATAGCATCATCTACTCTGCTTGAACGTGTCACGAGGGCTTATTTGGTGGTGTAAACTGCTCTTATGGTAGAGCCAGCTCAGTAGAGTATGATATCAGTGCATGCAGTCCTGTGATGGTAGAGCCAGTTCAGTAGAGTATGATATCATCACAGGACTGCATGCACGACTGAAAGTTTTACTTAATTCCGATGTTGTCGTTATTCTGAACACACATTACATTTATTTTTTATTTAGTAAATGTGATCATCAAATATATTAAACGTTGTTGTCGATAAACGTAATGATGATTATACGCAGGTGGAGGAAATATGTTAGCATTTCGGCCTGCAGATCCCAACTTCAGAGGTTTGAGTCGCAATAATCCGCTGTGAAGACGTTATAGTTGTGACAGTTAATACCGCTATTTGATTAATAATAGCTGTATAAACGGCAGAGGCTGCTGGCTTGTTGCCTGCCCTTTGGTCGGCATTTATAAACTATAGATGGCTGTTTCTGAATTTTGGGGTCCATGACCGGGTCGATTAACTGCCCATTTGTTGCATTTTCATTAAAAAATATCAAATACCTCATAACTTCGGAAAACTAGATTTTTACTGCTAGAAGCGAACTCTATGAACTTTTGATACTTCTTCAGTTGAGTTTTAAATACGGTTTCGGTTTGAATCCTGCAATATGTTTCAGCTCTGATGTTATAACAGCCAATCAGGTTTTCTCTTATATTTTGTATAAAAACACTGTAACCCGAGTGCTTTCGAAAGGTGGACCTTTCTTCTTCAGGGGTAAACTGGGAATCTCATATTCTAGTAGGTATATTCGCTACAGTTCCTTTCTAGAAGACTTACAATTACTGTAAGACAAATAGAACATTACACCCATTCATTATTTACAGGTTATTCCAGAACAACTGGTACTTAAATCATAAAGAAGGAACTGAGTCTTGTAATATCGTTTCTATACGATTCGCCATGATGTTATAATTATATGCTCAGATCAATCTCGTTCCGATATTATACGATATTATATATTGTTTCTACTCGATAGAGCGCCATTCGTGTATTATACACATAGTTCTTGTAGCATACATACTGATTTAATACAATTTTATTTTATGTTTTATTAAAATAAGATCACTTTTATCCAGCACTTGTGTCGTGTTTACAAACTAAATCTAATCGAATACGAATGTTCTTGATATATTCTTGATCCTCACGCACTAACTCAACTTACGATCGAACTTACGCAATTCTCTGCGATTGGTTCCACTCTCTGTCGTGCAATATAGTTCTTATAAATAAGAATTTTTCCAAGTTTGGCAAAAATACTTTACATATAGTAAGCATGCTGTGTACCAATTTTCACAAACATTTTTTTTTCTTTCTAAGAATCATTCTGCTGTATCTGGAAGGATTTGAATATTTGAGAAAATAACAGGATATGTTTTGTTTTTTAAAACGATCAGGTTCGAATAATCACCAGTTAGTAGAAAACGCCATCTTTGTGATTAATTCAGCTTTATAAGCTGCGGCTACAAAAGCCACCCAAGCTAATACTTCATTTGACTTGACTGTTTCACCATAAACAAGAGGATCGACCGCTGTCTCCTCTTTATAATCAGCTGTCTCAGCCCCTTCAGTTATTAGAACCCCTCTATTATACGAACTATCCGCTTTTATCTCCATCCCCAGGCTCTCACTGTATGGTTGAAGCGGCGGAAGGTTTTCTATGGCTCCCGTATCTACTTTGATTATGGCTGTAACCGTAGAGTAAAATAAATAAATACAGGAATTGCCGAAGTACAAATATTATAAGGAATAATCACATCAATGGAGAAAGAAGTGACAATGATCGTTTGTGTTTCTCTATTTTTAATATTTTTTAGTAATTAAGTAATTTATCTCTCATCCAAAATTATAACCTACAGCATGTTGAACATAATGGAGTAACGGAGCATTACATACAGTTGAAGAAAACGATAGGGCTAAGAAACAATGAATTTTATGAATATATATATATTGAAGCAAGTGAGAAAGAAAAAGAAAATAAATAAACTCACCGTTAAAAGAATATTCAGTTAAAAGGAAATTGTGTCAGTCATAGTTCCTATAACGTTAGCTGGCGACACACACACGACCTTGGAACCTATGCCAGCCATCGTGCTTTACAAAACTAAACAAAACACGTGCACTTAATGACTTCTTAGTGTTGCACTTTGACTTCATTACAGAAACGAGAAGAAAAAAAAAGTCACCAAAAGAAAACTTGTGATTAGCTAGGTTTTTATGCTTCTAGCATTTTATCTCGCGAAAACTCTATGTTATGATTACACACCGTTCCTATGTTTAGAGTCGAAATAAAAACAAGCGAGAGCGTTACTGAAACATTGTTTAAATTAGAACGTAACTTTCAAAGATTATTAAAGACAGATTTCGGAGACTTTGTGGGCATAAATGAAACGATAAAAACGTTTGTACTCAATCTTACCATTGTAAATATTAATTCTGTTCGATCACTTTGCTATTGAAAAGCTGTGGCAAATTCCTGTCTAAAGTACAAAAAGTTGTACAAAAATAAAACCATCTTTTTGAAATCATTTTAATGTGATTTTTTTTCACATATGGATATATTGATTTATTCATTCCACACCTCAGTGGCCTCGTGTTAATTTTAGAAGCTGTACCTCCAAACCTTTCTAGACACGTACTCGTATACCATCTGTGCCTCAAGTTGTTTTTATCGCCTGTACAAATAATCTTTTAAAGATGTTCTTAAACAAAGATGACAAATATGACTGTTATGAAGCTTATGATCTTGTACAGACACGGGCAGGCTTCTTGAGAAGAAATGTTGGAGAAAAGCTAGTTGGCCACCTAGTGATTGAAAGTAGAAATTAGGTTATCAAGACAAAATTAATTAACTTTAATCAACGTGAAGGACTGAGTACCCAAACAAGATTCATCTGTCAAAGGCTTAGGATAACAACGTAGAGACTGTGCGTTAGTTTTTACAAAACATAGTTAATTTAATTATTTTTAGAACAATATAACAAGTATAGTCAACAGTTAATGTTGAAAGTACAATTACGTAATACATAAAACTAATATAATTAAACCATCATTCTTTGTTTATATTGTTGAGTCCCGGAGAAGATGTTATATTTTCCGTGATATCAAACCCAAAGACAATTTGTATATCAAAAGGCTGATTATCAAACTCACTGATACACTTCACAGACTGCTTTTCTACCCACAGCTTCGTTCTTAGTCATTAATCACTTACGAACACGTAAACACCTGAACCCTCAATATTCAACACAGTCATACAAAAAAACTATTTTAATTTAAGAAAACGCCAATACCAAATATCAGTAAATAAATACTATTTAATTGGCATAAAAAAAAGAGAAATCGTGAATTTCTTTTTTTTTGTTTTGTTTGTTTGTTTTTGAATTTCGCGCAAAGCTACACGAGGGCTATCTGCGCTAGCCATCCCTAATTTAGCATTGCCAGACTAGAGGGAAGGCAGCTAGTTATCACCATCCGCCGCCAACTCTTGATCGACTCTTTTACCAACGAATAGTGGGATTAACCGCAATTTATAACGCCCCACAGCTGAAAGGACGAACATGTTTGGTGGGATGGGGATTCGAACCCGCAGATAGCGAGTCGAGCGTCCTAACCATCTGGACATGCCGGGCTTTGTCTCTTTTGTACATATTTTACAAAATGTTATGTTTTGTTTTAATTGTCGTGTTAAATTTTAAGCTCTGAAATAATCACCAAAATCTCGGAAAGTATCTCAGTATAGTAAAAATTACCAAAAACTATGAAGTATAACCCACACACATTTGGAAAGTGCTAAGATAGAGTTTCTTATTTAAATTTGTTATTTTATGTAAGATCAACCAAAGGAGTAACTGCTTTCCACATGTTCGAATGATGAAATATTAAGAAGTCGATATATATTCGTGCTGGAAAGTTCGAGTTTTATTTTTAAATTTAATTCTGCTTGAAGTTTATTATGTTTCATACATCAAATATAAATATATAAAAATGAAATAAAAATAATATATTTTTTAAATGTATCTTTAGAAGATTGTGA